CTCTGCCTCCAACCGAAGAAATGCGTCCTCGTGCCCACCTGGTCCCTGCCAACGCCCGAGATCACCGCGAGCATGCGTGCAATCCTGACCCAGATCTACGAGCCGTGGCAAGATTTCTCCATCAACAGCTTTGCGCGCTACCTCGGCGTGTACATCGGCCCTGGCGCCTCTCTCGGACGTCAATGGCAAGGGCCTGCCAACAAATAGTGGGGGCGCATTCAGATCCTGTGCGACTCCAACGCCCCCATCCAGCAGTGCATCAAGATGTACAACTCCGCTGCCATCACATGCCTCTCGTACGCCGGCCAGCTCTACCCACCCTCTCCAGCATTCCTGTCCAAGGAGATTCACGGGCTCCACAAGCTGATCCGTGCTGCCCCCTCCAGTTTCTCAATGATTGACATCCTGTCGTTCACGCTATGGGCGTCTGCCACGATCCCACAGGGTATTGAAACGCTACTCGCAGCAACGATGTGGCGCGCCTCCACGACCACCATCTCTGGCTGGCAGCCTCTGCTTCACGCGCTCCGTGCTCATGCTGAAGAACTTCTCCCGCTACGAGAAGTAGTAGTTGGCAAATGGTCTGCGTCGTGCTGTATTGACTCCACTTCCATCGTGCAGCGATTCGACGACATCGTTCAGACCAGGTTGACCGCGACAGGCAAAGGGTCCATCTTCAAGATTCTCACGCGGTCCATGGGATCTACGACGAATGCCGCCCAGATACTTCAGCGAGCGCATGCGCAAGCTGCTGCTGCTGGACGACATGCCATCATGGCCTCTCGCCGTAACAAGGCGGAGGATCTGCATTCACACAGCCGTGACAGGGCTGGTACCAACCAGGCACCACGCTGTGGCAGGGCGGGTGACCTTCACACGTCCAGCCGTGACAGGGCTGGCGGACATCACCAGAGACAGGCAGGTATCAAAGCTCCGACTGACGCTACGTCGAGTACCACTTCAAGTACCTCTCCACAACAAGCATACCTGCGGGAACTACAACGCCAGCTGTTCCGCGACTACTTCCGCAAGACCATCCATCACCTTCTCCGCGCCTGGCTCCCACTACTTCCTGCTGACAATGGAGAGCGGATGGCACCTGCTACGATCGAGCAACCTGCTGGGAACGATGATCACGACTCCATGAAGTGCCTGAACGAGCGAGCAGAAGCATGGGCAGCAATATGGATCCCCAGCGTGTTTTTTTTTTTCGGCCGCGACATGGGCAACTTCAACGACTGGATGGACTGGTGCGTCCCATGCATCACAGCTGTACTACATCGCACCCAATTCAATGCGCACTTCTGCATTGATGACCAGTACGCGTCTGCCAACGCTCGCCGTGACATGGCGGCGGAGATATGTTACAGTGCATGGCATCGAGCTGAACACCCTCGCAATCACCGCCTGCAGATCTACTCCCCCGAGCACATGCCGACCAACACCCATCGAGAATTTGCTGATGAAGCTGCTGAAAACCGTGCCCGCCGTCGCTGGATCGAACGGGAGCGAGACACCAACCTGAACCTCCCGCAGGCAGAAGACGGCACTCAATCTACAACTACGGCTACTTCAACGCCTCACATCCACTCATTCAACTACATCATGATGGATTCTGATACATCCGACCGTGATGGACTCCTTGGTCGCGCTGATCTCCCTGCTAGCGTTGAACACGGCTGGCGCGACCTGAGGCCGCACCTGGCGAACTCCACGGCATCGGTTTTCTGGCCTGTGGTCAAGACCTTGTCAGGCGCGTGGACTACCTCACACCGCATGCACGTCAACCCACATAAGAAGAACTGCCTATTCGGCTGCGACAAAGACTCGCAGACCAAGTACACGAACGACATCAGCCACTACATTTCGCGCCCGCGAATGTGGGCGCTATTGGCTCAACCTCGGGGACAACCTGCTGGTGATGTCCTCGCACGGCTCGGCCTCAACAAGAGCAACAACATTGACGACCATCCGAAGCACACCATCACGCGCATTGCGGTTGCCTTCCGCACATGCAGCATCCCGCGGGCGCGTTCCGAGACGAGCCTGCCCGCCATCATCGACGAGCTCAAGTACCACAAGGAGGTGATCGCTGCCACCAGACGCGTCCTGAGGTTGCCACGGTGCCTCGTAGGCGGCGCGGGGCCGCTTCGCCTCTAACCCGCGGGCACGCGCCCCCTTCTGCGCGTCGTTCGCTCCTCCGCCTCCTCCTCTTCCCCGTCGTCGTCGTTGTCCTCCTCCTCCTCCTCCTCCTCCTCCTACCTCATCCGTAGCCTCGATGGCTCCGATTGCGCCGTGCGCGAGATCCGCCTCCTCCCCATCCGTCCTCCTCCCTCCTACCTCCTCCCTCCTCCTTCCCTCCTCCCTCCTCCCTCCACCCCTCTCTCGGGAGCGTCTACCCGCCTGATCTGCCCGTCTGGTTCCGCCGCGTGTTTTTTGCTCCTAGCTCCCCTCCTGCTACTGTCTTTCTCGTGCTCCATCCTCCTCCCTCCCGCTTGTCCCTTTTTTTCCGTCCGTCCTTTCTTCCCCTGCCGTACGGGTTGCGTTAAGTACACGTAGCAGGTAAGACAGATATACTCCCAAGGGGGTTCGATCGGCAACGACGAGGGCGGGTATCGATGGTTTGGGATATACGTGTTGACTGGCACGCGAGCGGATAAGAGCGAACAGGCTTCAACTGTAGTAGTAGTAGTAGTAGTAGTAGTAGTAGTGCTAGTAGTAGTAGTAGTAGTAGTAGTAGTAGTAGTAGTAGTAGTAGTAGTAGTAGTAGTAGTAGTAGTAGTAGTAGTAGTAGTAGTAGTAGTAGTAGTAGTAGTAGTAGTAGTAGTAGTAGTAGTAGTAGTAGTAGTAGTTGTTGTTGTTGTTGAACATTATTACTTCTAAAGAATAATTATTGTTGGGGCCCCTGGTGCACGACCCCCCCGCCGCGCCTAGGCCGCAGCCTCATTTTCATCATTTTCGTGAGGAAGTCTCAGGCAAAACGGGTTGGTCCGGATCCGGTTGTGTTGTTACGATCGGTTTTCCCTTGCAAAAAATAAGCTAAAGTGGACATTTCTTGTTCTAACATAACCAAACTTCAAGAATCCCTTGCAAAAAATAAGGTAAAGTGGACATTCGCGCGCGCAAGACGAAATCCTTCCAAAACCTTAGTTTTCGTAGCGATTTTAACATAAAAACATCAAAAAACCAATGGTTTTTCAAAAAAAAAATGTCAAAATTTCATCCCGCGCGCTCTTGCGGATTCGTAGGAAACCCAACACTTTTTAATCATTTCTGTCAAACGGGCTTTTGCGAGCAACTTTTTCGAACTTCTGCAACAACGGTTGCGCACCTGCCAGGGCCATCATCCCTGTCAAATAATACCATGCGGGACACATTCGTTTTTTCTTCGCGCGCGCACGCCGTCGTCGTCGGCCGCGGGGCCCTGAATAGTAGCCACGGTCGTCCGCATGCCACGAAGTGAAGTGTCCGAACGTCATAGGGCGGGAAGCTGGGTGTGGGTGGTGGCGAAGAGTCGTTTGGAAATTTGGTAGAGCTTGAACCGGCCCCCCCACAAAGTGGGGGTATTGCCCGCCTCCTATGAAAACCCTGGCACTGGTGAGAACGGTGTGTCCCCACGTGCTAGTAATTGTTGTTGTTGTTGTTGTTGTTGTTGTTGGTGTTGGTGTTGGTGTTGTCGTTGTCGTTGTCGTTGTCGTTGTCGTTGTTGTTGTTGCCGTTGTTGTTGTTGTTGTTGTTGTTCCAGTGTATATATACACACATTAGGTGTAGCTGATTCCGGAAACGGTACCTCGCGCTCTCGCCACGACGCGGGCTGTAATTCCTCTGACAACGAGGCTCCCGCTTGAGCGCGGGCTTGATTGTAAATGCCCGCTCGATATTTCCTCGCAGTTTACCCGCAGACACCCTGGTCAGAGAGGCCCCCGAACTCAGGAACGGCCGCTTCGCTCGAAACTTTTCCGTAATTCAGTCGAGTCGTTGGCCCAACTACGACGACAACGGCTCCCGCTCGATGCTTCCTCACGATTTCTTCGGAAAAAGGCGCACTTCAGTCAGTGTCCGACAAAGAAGAGATTGCCCCCCAAAGAAGGTGCGATCGAAGGCGAAGAGGGCGGGAATCGAGGGTTGGGTATACAAAGTGAAAGACAAGCGGGCAAGAAAGAGCGACCAGTCTTGAACTTATTGTAGTTGTTGTTGCCCCTGCCTTCGGGGCTGCACGAAATACACCCTGCGGGTAAGATAGTTATACCCCTACGGGGGTACTGTCGAAGACGAAGAGGGAAGGTATGGAGGGTTTGGGATTTACTTGTCCAGTGACACGCGAACAGATAAGAACGCTCATTTTGTTGTTGTTGTGGTTGTTGTTGAGGTTGTTGTGGTTGTTGTGGTTGTTGTTGAGGTTGTTGTTGTTGCTGCTGCTGCTGTTGTTGTTGTTGTCGTTGTTGTTGTTGTTGCTGTTGTTGTTGCTGTTGTTGTTGTTGTTGTTGTTGTTGTTGTTGTTGTTGTTGTTGTTGTTATTGTTGCTGTTGTTGTTGTTGTTGTTGTTGTTGTTGTTGTTGTTGTTGTTGTTGTTGTTGTTGTTGTTGTTGTTGTTGCTGTTGCTGCTGCTGCTGCTGCTGCTGCTGGCTGCTGCTGCTGCTGGCTGCTGCTGCTGCTGTTGTGGTTGCTACACTGTTGGGTGACATTTTCAGCCCCTGGCCCCGGGGACCGTCAAAGACGACTCAGGATGGCCCCGGGGAAGGGGTCGAGACCCCCAGAGGGGGTTCACGCTGCGAGCAGTCAAGTCGCCGGGGGGTTGCGCACGCCGCGGCGCCTCCCCTGGCGCGTGCCACTCTGGGCCCCAGGATAGTGTGATGGTGTCCGCCCCCGTGGCCGAGGCCAGGCGGTTGTGCACGCCATCCCCGGGCCCAGGGCGGCGTTGCCCTGACCTTCCAGGAGGGCTAAACAATAGCACGCGACTTAAAAACCTATCCCAGAGCTATTCTACGTCTTGGTTTTAGGCTGTTTCGTCTCGTTTTTTAGGTTTTTAGGTCTCCAGTGCTAAAAAATAGCTCTCTGGAAGGTCAGGGTGGCCAGGGATGCTGGTGGCGGTGGTGCACAGCTGCCGCCCCCACGTGGAGCGCTGCGCGCTGCGGCGGGCGGGAGCTGCTGCCCCGGGCCCCACTGCCGCTGCCGGGCGGGCCAGGGGGTTGCCTGGAGTCCAGGAGCTCGGCTGCGCGCCGGAGGGGTCCTTCGCCGGAGGGACCCCTGGGGTGCGCGGCCTCCGGCGGCAGGCCGCTGCTGCCGCGCCGCGCGCGGCACAGCGCCGCCGGCGAGCGGGGCAGCCGTGGCCACGCCTGCCAGGTTGTCACTCCTTGGCGTGCGGGCCGCGGGTTGCAGCGTCTGCCCGTGGTCCGAAGCCTGGCGCCTCATCTCCGGGGCTTGTCGGCGGCGTCGGCGTCGTCTTCGCCGTCGTCGCCGTCGTTGTGGCCGCCATCGCTGCCACCGTCGTCTTCGTCTCGGCCGCCGCCGTCCTCTTCGCCTCGGGAAGGCGGGGCAGGAAAGGGGCGCGGTAATCATCATCCATCGGAAACAAGCGCGAGGTTGGACATGGCAGTGGGGCACAGGAGGGTCCATTCCATGAATGAGTTCGATTGGCAGCCAGACTATCTTGTTCAACGGAGCTCACTACAACCCAGGCTAAGCCAGAACAGCCCGTATGAATCCCAGTCTAATTCATTCCCGCCCATCCCAACCCAATCCGCATCGGACTGTCAGCTGATCGATCGGTCGATCAATCAAGCAATCAATTAATCAATCAATCAATACATCAGTAGGTCAACCAATCAATCACTCAAAACAGTAAGACAGGTGATCAACTACAACAACATGGTTGCCTACATCTGATTACTCCCAGCGGCTTGCTGACAATCGTGGCGTGCATATCACAGGTCTTGCATGAATCACCGAGATAGTATGGGCTCTCGCTCACACTGAATTACCTCCTGCCGACGGGCACATCGATACCTGCGCAGGGCCCCGCTGACGCCCTGCTAGACATGAAGGCCGACCACTGCCGCTCCCCATCCGCAATGGGCAAGCGGGGCGATCTCATGGGTCAGCGCCCGCAGGTGATAGTCAGTTTTGTAGGGTAGCCGTGAGTGTCGTAGCCGTGGTTGTTACTTGCTATCCGCCCTTTGTGTTCTTTTTCTTATTCTCATTTTTTCCCCAGCCATGCTGGCCAATGCCCACACACGCAGACAACGCGCCGACGCACATTTTAGCGTGCACTCATCTCATTCCCGAACACGGCCTCCTCATGAACATCGACCGATCATGTCGTACTCTTTTCAGCAGCCAGTGGTACCCAGAATCGCGGAAGCTAGCTGAAGTGAAGCGACATGATCATTGCGCTGCAAGCAGAAGGTGGTGGGGGGCGGTGTTCAGGGTGTCGGAAGCTCGCTGCCATCCCCCATAGAGGTCGCACACAGTGCCATCGTGCCTGCGACCACGATCGCGCGGTCCGCCCGCCTATTTTTCGAGGCACGTGTCTTCTAACTTGTCGCCCCGCGTCGTGCCCCCAGATGGCCGTGTGAGTTTGCGATGCTGGGACCTCGGCGAGCAGCGCTGCTGTGCTGCGGAGCGCTGGGCCTCCTCCGCGTGTGCGGCTCGACGCGCCTGAGCCTCGACAACGGTGCGGAGGGGGGGCGGGGGGTCTGAGGACGTGGCCTACGACCGCTCCCCCGATCCTGGGTCTGGCTCCTTCTTTACAGGCCGGGTGAGTGGGCGGCAAGCCCGCTGCGCTTTCAGCATCGGACCTCGTCGCCCTGGAGCGCGTTGTCTCGACAGCCTTGAGTGGGCAGGGTTTTGCCCCCTGGTGGGTGCCCATAAACACGGCCAATCTGGGCAGAGTGTCTCGAGGATCACATGGGCGGTCCTCGAATCGACGCGGCCCTCTTCCTTTGGTCAGGGCCACCAGCCCAGGTCAGGTCCCACATCTCGAATAATTCCCTGCCAGGACCCTACGGGCGGGACCCTAGACTCGAGGGCGTCGAACGGGGGGGTGAGGGCTACAGTAGGGCGTGTGTGTGTGTGTGTATGTGTGTGTGTGTGTGTGTGTGTGTGTCTGTGTGTCTGTGTCTGTGTGTGTGTGGACATCATAGCTGGGGCCGTGACGTCTCCCTCGTTTTTCATGGTTTCCACGACGCCCCCTGCCCCCCCCCGTCCGCGCACGCGCTCCGGGCCACGATGTTCGGCTAAATGTTAGAGTGACCTTTCGCTGGAGCGACCTTTGGTGCGGGCCCACTGGCGTCCCCCGATCGTCGAATGCGACGCGATGGTTGTGTCTTGCTCGCTTGGGTTTCTCCGCGGCCCCCCGAAAGCCGCGCACCAAGGGTCATCACTCTTACTCAGGGCCGTCACCACTCTTACTCAGGGCCGCTCTTTGCGTGCAGCCGAGATTTGCCACCGCCCCTCTTCCTAGCCCCCGCCCATCGGCGCACCCGGCGGGACCCGAGACATGCGACGTCCTGTTTTTTTCAATGCGGGGCCCCTGGAAGTCCCGGCCCTTTCCCTGGGGCCGCTTTTTCATCCCGAGTCGTTTTTGGACGGTTCCGGGGCCCGGCGAGGGCCCCTCAAAGGGCCGAAAATTGATTGTGAAAAACCTCCCGCCCTGTTTTTTATTTTTTTTGTGTTGTTTTTTCCCAACCATCCTGTGGTGTTGGGTCCTCGTTTTGAAGAGACGGTGCCCCGCGTTCTCCTTCCTCCCGCTGCCTCCTCCCCCCTCCCATCATCATCATCATCAACACCCATTTCGGCACACCCCTCACACGTTTCGTGGCTCCATAGGGAGCTCCACCGAAGGCCCCAGTGCCCGCGGCCGCATGCGTCCCCCACACCCATTTCGGCACACCCCTCACACGTTTCGTGGCTCCATAGGGAGCTCCACCGAAGGCCCCAGTGCCCGCGGCCGCATGCGTCCCCCACACCCATTTCGGCACACCCCTCACACGTTTCGTGGCTCCATAGGGAGCTCCACCGAAGGCCCCAGTGCCCGCGGCCGCATGCGTCCCCCACACCCATTTCGGCACACCCCTCACACGTTTCGTGGCTCCATAGGGAGCTCCACCGAAGGCCCCAGTGCCCGCGGCCGCATGCGTCCCCACACCCATTTCGGCACACCCCTCACACGTTTCGTGGCTCCATAGGGAGCTCCACCGAAGGCCCCAGTGCCCGCGGCCGCATGCGTCCCCCACACCCATTTCGGCACACCCCTCACACGTTTCGTGGCTCCATAGGGAGCTCCACCGAAGGCCCCAGTGCCCGCGGCCGCATGCGTCCCCCACACCCATTTCGGCACACCCCTCACACGTTTCGTGGCTCCATAGGGAGCTCCACCGAAGGCCCCAGTGCCCGCGGCCGCATGCGTCCCCCACACCCATTTCGGCACACCCCTCACACGTTTCGTGGCTCCATAGGGAGCTCCACCGAAGGCCCCAGTGCCCGCGGCCGCATGCGTCCCCCACACCCATTTCGGCACACCCCTCACACGTTTCGTGGCTCCATAGGGAGCTCCACCGAAGGCCCCAGTGCCCGCGGCCGCATGCGTCCCCCACACCCATTTCGGCACACCCCTCACACGTTTCGTGGCTCCATAGGGAGCTCCACCGAAGGCCCCAGTGCCCGCGGCCGCATGCGTCCCCCACACCCATTTCGGCACACCCCTCACACGTTTCGTGGCTCCATAGGGAGCTCCACCGAAGGCCCCAGTGCCCGCGGCCGCATGCGTCCCCCACACCCATTTCGGCACACCCCTCACACGTTTCGTGGCTCCATAGGGAGCTCCACCGAAGGCCCCAGTGCCCGCGGCCGCATGCGTCCCCCACACCCATTTCGGCACACCCCTCACACGTTTCGTGGCTCCATAGGGAGCTCCACCGAAGGCCCCAGTGCCCGCGGCCGCATGCGTCCCCCACACAAATTTCGGCACACCCCTCACACGTTTCGTGACTCCATAGGGAGCTCCACCGAAGGCCCCAGTGCCCGCGGCCGCATGCGTCCCCCACACCCATTTCGGCACACCCCTCACACGTTTCGTGGCTCCATAGGGAGCTCCACCGAAGGCCTCAGTGCCGCCGCCCGCATGCGTCACCCCCACCCATTTCGGCACACCCCCCGCATTTCTCGCACGGCAGGGTCATCACCACGGTGGCGTGCCAGGGGCGCACCATGCGCGAAGGCGACGGGGCGGGGGAACGGCGCTCCGGGGGCGGCCAGACCTCCGGGGCGCGAGCAGTCCGCGGCCAGACCATCTCTCGGTCCTGTGGACTCTCGCCCTGGGCCGTCGGCTGCCCGGCGCGCTGCTCCCTCGGTCGACGTCGCCCAGGCGTGATCCTGGATTGCGGCCGCCACGAGGTAGGGAACGGCAAGAAGGAGGACGACGACTGGTGGCTGGAGCTCTACGTGCTGCTCTCGCGCGCCACGCGCCACGAGGACCTCCTGCTCATGCGGGCGCCGCGCATCGAGTTCTTCCTGGCAGGGCCGCCGCAGGGCTTGCGGAAGCAGCTGGAGCAGTTTGCGGCGCGCACGAAGCGGCGCAGGAGGGAAGCGACGGCCCTCGCCAGGGAGCTCGGCTTCACCGAGTTCATCCGCGAGGCCTGACCTGAGGAGCGTCTCCCCCGAGCCGCGCCTTCTCTCGACTGCCCGACTAATTGTTTGGCCTCGCGCCGCGGACGACCCGCGCGCGTCGCTGGGACCCTCTCGGGGCGACCAGCGCGCGTCGCGGGAACTCCGTGCTGCGGGGGGCCCGGCGCCTCGTTCGCCCGTCGTCGCTCTGCCCAGCGGTCAGAGACTTGCCCGCTATCAGCCAGCCAGTTAGCTAGTCAGCTCTCTCTGCTTCGCGCAGCGGACGACCCGCGCGCGTCGCTGGGGCCCCGCCCGGGGCGACCAGCGCGCGTCGCGGGGACTCCGCGCTGCGCTGCGCCCGCAGCCTTGGATTTTGGAGTGCGCGGGCAAAGAGGAA